CACTTTGATTACCTTCAAGTTGTTGTTCAATTTTAACAAAACTTGATATAAACATATAAAGTGATATGAACTTTCAATTTAACGGTTGGATTTACAAAATTCACATTTAATATAAAGTTATTGAACAATGTAATACTTAGTAAAAGTTATACCAGTGTTATTATAACCCTTCTCATTTTAAAATATAAAAATTATTATTTAAAATTTTAAATTTATAATAGATAATTTAAATTGTATCATAATATTAATTTTAAATAGAAATAAGTAGATTGTTAATTATAAAAGTAAATATATATAAATAAAGTAACTAAATATAATATAATTATTATTATTGGTAATATAATTATTATATATATTATTATATTTTTATAACGGTCCAGACATACCGAAATGAGAGGGATCCAAAGATAGTATAAGTATGAGATTGTATAGTGGAGGATGATTTAAATGAATTAATTTGTACTACCTATATTGGCAACATGTATCTTCTTTTTGGTAGCTTATCTCATTAGAACTTCACAGTTAAGCATGCTTGACTTGAAATAATATAGGGATGGGTGACCTTCTGAGAAGTTTCCCAGAAATTATGCAAGTAAGGACAAAACACGCTGAAAAGTGAAGTGTCGTGAAATAGAATCTTGAGACGCCAAATATGAGAGTTGTTACATTAATAAACTTATTAAAATTAAACAAAAATTTTTTGACGGATTTATTTGTCAGAATCATACAAAGATTTTCAAACAATTTTTGACGGATGTATCTGTCGGTAATTTTCGACGGATAATTATCGACGGATTAATCCTTCATAAATTTTTGACGAATTAAATTGTTTCGACAGATTTTTTTTTCCTGATGTCCCTTTTTTCAACGGATTTGCGTCTGTCAAAAATTCGTCGAAAATAGAGAATTTCTGACGGATATTCCTTTTTACCGACAGATTATGTCTGTTGAAAATTTACATTTTCTTATAGTGAATTGACATAAATTTGGAAGGTTTAGTATCACTGTAGGGATAGAATAATTGTGTGTCAGCTTACCGTAATATTGGTCTACAACAACCAAGCCCCCTCTAGATTTAGCTTACAACCTAAGCCTAAGATACCACATACCCTTCTAACACTAGGTTAGGGTGCACCTTAGGTGACAACCCACAACTTACATGCCAACTCAACATCCAGGTTAAGGAACCCAGACACAACTATAGTCTTACTAAATTTTCTACATCTTTAGGCTTTAGAGGTCCCTTGAGAGTGGAATCAAATCAAATGCTCAAACATCACTACATAGTCTTGTCCAAACATACCACCTTGCTCCAACCTTAGAAAATATTCCTCTTTGGCATATCTTAAAGTTACTTAAATGCTTGAACAACAACTTAGAGTTCCTAGAGATCGTCTCTCTAGAAAACTTGTCTTATGAATTTATGAAATTCGCTTACTCAAATTTGATCTTATATATCATAGCCCTTCCCGGACCAATTCTCATACACTTAAGTTATATCCTCTATAACTTAAGTTTGAGGTCATCTCTACTAACACTCACCTCTACATAGGCATCATAGAGAAGAATAACATAAAAAAAACTTAAAACAACATAAACCTTCAATCTTAATTAGATACATATCAAATATACATGATTAAAAAAATGATGGTGTTACAATTATTGTGAATAATAAAAGGGGACAAGTTTAGCTAGAAATTTAGTTTATTCACCAAATTTAGAATTATTTGCATTTCTTCTTTTTATTATGACTTGGAATTAATACTCTTAATTTTGTACATGAAAATTTTAAATTTTAGCCAGTGTATTAACTTAAGTGAAAATTCATTGTCATTTTATTATTAAGTTTATGATTAAATATTATGATTTATTTTTATCCACACTAGTTAAATTACTTTTGATTCCTTCTAGATTAATAGAGAATTTCTTATTTCTTACACCATGATCAAAAGTTCTTAATGCATAAATTGTTTTTAAATTTTAAAAAAATCATATGATACTTTGTTATATAAATTCAAATCAACATATTAAATATTTTATAATTATTTGTCAATTTGAATCAATGAAACAAAGTATTAAATATTTTTAAATTTTTTTAAAAATTTACAGACTTGATTTATGCATTAAGAACTTTTACTTTAATGGTTGGATCGTTAAAATTTAATGTAGAATATGAGCTATTGAGTGAAATAAGTTTAGGTATACTTAATTCATTGTCTCTTACTATTTTTTAATTTTCATTTTTACTTTTGTAGGCTGGAATGTTAAAGCACAGAGCGACATACGAAATAATGTCTCCCGAAGATATTGGCCTTGAAAGTTCAAATGGAGTTAATATTGTACTAGGGAAGCTAAGGTGTGTCATTCTCTTTCTCTCACATTTATTTGGGCCCATTTGGTGAATTTAATTATATGGAAACTTATAAAACATGTATGACAATAAATTTAAAGAGTTTATAATTTTTTTTTGTGAACTTATAAGTTAATTTGATCAAAATAAACTTATTTGATTAGATGACTTATTTTAGGAGTTTGTAACCTTATTACACCAAAGTTCACCTTTTGTAGCCATTATTTTTTTCTTTAGGACTATATAAATGGTCATTTTTTATATTTATCAATAATTAAATAATAGTTGGTGTATATAGAATCGTTAATGTTTTTATTGACATTTATGTAAATTGTTGGTAAATACATGCTAAATTATCAAAAAAAAAACTTAATTAAATTGATTATATATATAAAATAATGATTAATAAATAATAAATTTAAACGCCTAATATTTTTTGCCACAAAATCATGTAGTTTATGATTGATTTAGTGACAATTAGCTTTTTTTTTTTTTTGTGTAAGCTAATTGATTATTGAAGTAATTTATATATTATAAGCTATTAATTTATTTTTATCCTCATTAATTTAATTACAAATTTTTTTATCTTTTTTAATTTAGAAATCATTTTACATGCATTTTCTTTTCTTACGCATGCTATCAAATAAATAATTCTCATTTTACATTGATGAATTAACTTATTAGTTACTATTATAAAACATTCAAATAAATTAGTCAACTTATGAGCTTTTAATTTTTGATTCCTAATTTAAAGTTTATAAACTTTTAACTAGTTTATATAAATTTGACAACTTATAAATTAGTTTTACAAAACACACATGTGACTATAGTATAGATAACAGGTGAAATTTTAATAAAAGAGTTGGCAGGTTTTTTTAATATTTATTTATATCAATGGAAGAAGTTGCAATTTATGACAATCTTATTACAATTCACAAAAGGCGCTCTTAGGTTAGTTAAATTTTTTAATTCAAGGATTTGTAAATTATGTAATATTTTATCCTCACATTAGTAATCATTTACAATTTTTTAACAATAATATTAAATATTTTTTATATTAGTGTATATTTTGAAAATAAAATTATAATATCTTAGAAAATATTAAACTTATTTTCTAGATTAAAATTCATTTGATGTCAATTCAATTATTTAAAAAAATACAATTTCAAATAAATGATATAAAAATGATAATTTTATCAAGTTACTACGGATGAAAATATAATATAAACTATTTCTATGCATCTAATATTCGAATGACTTCATTTCACAAATATTTAAGAACAAATTAAAGTTTAACGAGTCTTTAATTCAATGACAAAATTGTTCATTTAGTTTTAAAAAAATAAAAATATTAAAATTTAATTTATATTTTTTTCATATTATGGTAATATAATATATGCAGAAATTAACTGCATAACAAAATGAATCACATTTAACTACGATCACTATGCTCTAATTTCGTATTTGTAATTTAAAAAAATATTGAATCGAATAAAACTTTAAAAATTTCTAACTCATATAAAGAATATTAAAATTAAAAGGTGAGAAGAAGTATACTCTTTTATTTTATCCTGTTCATTAATTTTTTTTATCTATTTTAAAATATTTTTTTATTATAATTAAAGAAACATTACCCATCTAATGTTGAACTATCTATCAACTTTTAAATAAAAAACTCATGCACATATTTGATTCACAAAGTAATCATCTGACAAGTCATACAATGGTATAACGTCTAACAACAAAACATATAAGTTATTTAACAACACTAGGCATCTTATGGATCAACTAGAAAACATAAAACAATTCTTTGATCATCAACATCAAAAGAAAATCTCCTTATGGGATTACTATATTTTTGAATATACGAATGTATGCAAATCCTAAATGAAAATCTAAGTTAGTCTAAAATAGCTATACAAGGCCAAAAAACCAACATCTCCGCCTCCAACCATCTGTAGATAGTTCATCAGCAACTCCAAGCCAACTTCTAAACCTAATCCTACTGTAGATAGTTCATCAGCAACTCCAAGCCAACTTCTAAACCTAATCCTAGTTTGTTCTTATATCAGAGATATGATCATCACAACTAACATACAAACTATAGGTAAACTTGATATAATAAAAGCAACATACAGATGGAAGTGCATAAAACATGAATATTATGGAGAGAAAAAAGACACTAGAAAGGGGTAATTGAGTCAATAAAAAATTTAATATTTTTTGAAACAGTGAAGTAGTATCGAGATCATAAAAATGCATATGTAAAGAAATATATAAAGAACATAAGATATTTTTATATTGGTTCATCTTAATCATTAATTCTACGTTTAGATCTTAATCAACTTGATCAAGTTCCACTATTATTCATAAAGATACAAGTATCCTTTCACAAGACACTTCTAGCTCAACCTAAGTTTTCTTTGACTTGTCTCTTTAAACAACCAACCTTAAAGCTTCTTTATATAGGTGTTTCTTGAAGATGACTATTGCAAATCTTTGAACTTCTTTCATAAGATTGCTTTGTCTTTCTTTGTCTTCCTTATTTATAGAGAGAAATGTTTGTTGATGCATTAAATGACCTTTCTAATAGATAAAAGTGTCCGTTGATTCATTAAATTTTTGTGTTTGTTAATTGAAAATCACATTATTTGAGATTTCACACACTTTGAGATATTTGTTTGTTCTTTCTTTGATGAAAAACATATCTTTGTTCTTTTTTGAAGTTAAATTACAAAAAAAAACTTTTATTCCTTCAATCTGTTAAGGAATAACATAGATAAAGATGATTTGGTTATTAGAAATATCAATGATTTATATTTAATGCATTCATCTTAGATAGATGAAGTGATTCATTTAATAGACTACACATCATCATAACCAATCGTCTATTAAGGTTTTTCTTTCTATATGATCTGAAAAATATCTCTTTTTTGTTAGCATTAAAACATGTTTAATTTTGAGGGATCTAAGATTGCCTTTTGATCTGACACATATAAATATCCACACAACATTGAACCTCAAACCCACAACATCTCATTGTGACACCCTTACTACCCCAACACATATATCGAAATATAATAAAAAAAAATTAAGGAAAATAAACTTTTTAAGTTGGTAAAAGGGTTCGAATTCCAATACATAAAAATAAAATTTTTTGGAATGTTACACTCATCACCAAAAATTGCACGAACAACCACATCACAACATCGTATGCAATGCATACACAACTTCATATGCTTAATTGTGCCATGCATTGTCACACACTAACAGCTTGAGGATTTCCCACATCCCTACTAGACTATAACAACCTTAGTCACTCATGTATTGTTAACATAAACCCAAAAAGTCATGTATCACTATTGGGTATAATATAGCTTGGGTTTAGGTCTATCACGACATTAGTCTATAAAACTTAGTCCTTAATGGATTTAGCCCTCTGCCTACCCCTAAGATACTAGACATTATTCCATACTTGTTAAAAAATGGTCTACAAAATTGATTGTTTTAGGTCTACAAAATTCTTTGTACAACTAATTTTGTTTGGTCTATGTTGTCTAAAAGCATTCTTAAAATAAGGCTTTGACCAATTTTCAAAACAATATTCAAATCAATTTTTAAACAATCTATCTTGTATATGCTTACACCGATTTGGATGTGTAGTACACAAATCCACTGTTGAGATTGTCTTTTAGCCTGTCCTTTTCCTTAACTGCAATAACCCCACCCCTTCACGAGAGAAAGCCTTACCGGCAACATTCTACACCAAAGTTGTAGTAGTTGATGTTTGTTTTTCCGCTGTCCCTGATGCCAACTTCACCTTCCCAACTACAAAACTAGAGTTGTTGGCATTTGCTCTAACAAGGTCCTCGTTGTTTCTAGACATTGCGAAAAAACTCGTACTCATGAGTATCTACAAATAAAATCTGTCATGGATAATAAATAAGTAGCATAAATGGATACTCGTAGGTAATGAGTATGAATATTTTTTTACTTGTTCATAAATGGGAGGAGGTAAGTGTAGTAATATCCATATCTGTTGTGACACCCTTTTACCTGAAAGCATAACAAATAAGGATTTTCCTTTGATAAGAAATTTTAATAAATACTATATCATTTAAATAAATTAAATTGGTGTTGATTAGTAAACATGTTTACATAATCTTCATAAAATACAGCTCTCAAATGGAATAAAATATTATTAATTTCTCAAATAATCTACGTGAGGCACAACTGCCCAATTACATAAACTCCAACCTAACAGGAAGTCATAAAATGATTAATCTCTGTTAAATTAAAGAAACATAAACTCTCTAGCCCTGATATCACTCAATCAAAGCAAGATCCCACATAACCCATAAAGTATCAAGCTTCCCCTCCATCAAACTCCTCTTTTAGTACCTTATCTATGCTTGCAAATGGTGATCAGCCCAAACACACACAATTACAAACTAGGAGTGAGAATATGTCTCATCCATGTATATAGTACATATGAAACATAAGAGTAGTACTAATAAACATACGTCATAGTTAGACTTCGTTGAAGAATTTTCATTTATCAATCATCAAGGAAAACACTCATCTTAATATATATGAATTCACTTTACAACTCATTTAGGTAAACCAAACAATTACAATTAATATTCATAAACTCATGTAAATGCATGCCCCTAACTGTACATGTATAGGGTACCAAATCTCCTTTTCATCCTCAACTTAGAATAACCTAGCAGCCATGGAATGGGACCACCTCCTTTCGATGTATGGATCACCTCCCTCTGATGAGCCCCCTTGAACCATCCTTAACTAGAGGATGTCTATCAAGGTGTTGTTAAAGTGTTATAGCTGGCCATGGTTTTCTCTTACCTCCTGCAAAAGGTTCCCCATAATAACACTCCTAAGGTCTAGGTAGATAACCTTTGAGACTTACTTGCATAAACTCACACTATCATGACAACCAAACATGTATGAATAGACTCTACTAATCAAACCACATCATCAAATAT